AGACAGACAGACAGACAGACAGACAGACAGACAGACAGACAGACAGACAGACAGATAGACAGACGGGGGGAGGGGGTTATTTACCGATCTAGGGAATAAATGGTAGTGTTTCCCTCCCTTTACTTGTACATCTATTAGACGTAAAAGGTCGATGGTCTTCCTCTTTTCATTTTCGATACTCTGAACATGAAAGAGCTTAAGATTTAAAGGGAAGTCACTCTTATCATACCGTTAAAGCTTCTGATTTTTTTTCGCCAGTAATCCACAGTAGATCTACAATTTAGAGTCTAGTGTCAGTCTCAAGTCTCAGAAAATAGAACTTCTTTCATCCACTAAATTAATATAAAATTAAATTCTCTTTTCAACAGCCCCATTTGTCTGTAAGTATAGTTAAGTAACTTTATATTGAGAACTTAAATACTGAAAGTTTAGCTTAGTAGAATAGATTCGTGATTTTCAACGGGACCCGACTTAGACTTAGACCCTCTTGCCCCTACCACAACAAAAACATTCCTTATAGATCTAGATCTAGATTGTAGTTCTACTTGTTGACTTATTTTGATGAATCAGGGTCCCATTTGTCTTGAGATCTCTAAACTCTAGTTTTGACCCCGCACGATTACTTTTGGATCTAAAAGTGAACGAAGTGTATACGGTACAGTAACAGACCCGGTAACCGGGAACAAAGTCACGAAGTATACATACCCGGTAGGGGAACTCTTTTGTGATTGGTAGTGTCAATTGCCACCGAGTGACGCGGTGGCAATTGACAAAAATTGACTTTTTGTCAGTCAATTGCCACCGAGTAAATTGGAGCTCTTTTGCGTTTGTGGGTAGATCTAGCTTATTGTGCTCGTCACTCGAGTGCTTGGTGTTGTGCGTTCGCCTCTCTGTCCCTCTGTGTGTGTTTGTGTGTGTGTGTGTGTGTCTTTTCCTGACCCCCGTCCCCCTATTTATGTTCCCCAATATGACGTGAATTTCTGCTTGAGTTTGTGTGCGTTTGTGACCTTCTACTTCTAGAATTGCCTGTGTTCGTTCTACACCAAAGTGTAGGCTAAGGCTAGCCTAGATCTAGGCCTAGATCTACGTCTCATTGAAAACACGCCAAGTTGGTACCGCAGCTCTAGACTACATGCTCGTCCAATGAAATTAGTTGAGAACAAATCGACCCATTAGACACACATTAGGCATATGTATAAAGCTAAAGATAGTGTTGTTTTCAGACTTGACACCGCTTCACTCGGTGGCAATTGACAAAAAGTCAATTTTTGTCAATTGCCACCGCGTCACTCGGTGGCAATTGACGCTACCTTTGTGATTTCGGAAAGTTTCAGCGCCAGACCCGGTAATGTGTGTGTGTGTAAGTTAGAAAGAGAGAGAGAGAGCAGGGGAAGTGCAAAATGTATGACATGCCCCAGTTGGCAGGAGGGAACGAGAGAAAGGTAGAGTGAGAAATAGGTGGGGAAAAAGAAAGACAGAGACAAACAAAGAAAAAGAGAATGCGAGCGATACAGAGAGAGAGAGAGAGGAGTGCCACATTCATACCACCGCTTTCATCCCACCTCGCCCGTGATACACAATCTGTGAGGATTAATGGATAGCGAGGGTCAAAGATGAAATCGCAGCCAGCCTCTCTTTCTCTTCTCCCCGACTCTCTTTGTATTTTTCTAGGCTAGATCCTATGTCCACGCGCGCGCTGTGTGCATCTCTCTGCCTTCCTCTCCGCGCGTGCGAGTGTGTGTCTCTATCGCTTGCGTTCTTTGTGTTTCTTTTAACACACTCCACTGCTGCGGTGTAGACTGGGTTCGAACTTCGATGGGTCATCATGAAAATATTGACTGTCTTGTAAATGAAGCGTGCCTTTAGCCAAAGTTACCGTGCTTAAAGGCGTGTAATTTATATTATAGTAAAAATTCGGTAAGAGCCGTTTAGCGTGCTTGAGTCCGAAACGTGCTTAAAGCCGGCGTGCTTAAAGCCGGCACGGACTGTACCGAGTAGGCCTATTTAAATCATTATCGATATCCAAGTAGGCTACTCTATGTCTATGATGCCTAGTCTAAACAGATGGGACCTAGTTTCTAAAGTTATAAGTTCAGTCTAGATATATATCTAGATCTAGATATTAGATCTAGATCTAGTTTTCTAGACACGGTCACTAAAAAATTAGGTAGATCTAGGCCTAAATTTATAGAAACACTATCGCCTCATAAAGGGTATATTATACGAAGTGACTATTTCTCCGAACGTTCGGGAAAATTTAAAAGTTGAACTCTATTTCTCCGAACGGTTCCCGTTCTCGAAATTTTTTCGGTTATTTGCGAGATTTAGATGTCATCCTTTCATTTTGCCATTCTGCGAGGACTGGGAATGAAGCATTTTTTGCATTAAATTCAATTTCTAGAGCTAGAGATTTTTAAATTTATGCCAGCATGAATTTTCGGATACTTCAGTTGTGGTTGGGGCAACATTCCCGGACTGTACTTCATTTGAAAATGTCTTCAAAAGGTACTGAGAGAAAACAAGACTGAAACCTTGGAAGTAATCTATTTTGAATTGAGTCACCCAGCAAAAACTGAAATCCTTCATGTAAAAAAACAATCCCTCCAGGCCCCCCCCCCCCCTCCCTACGCGTTCACACCTTACATACACACAGACACACACACACACACACACACACACATGCACTCTCGCACACACACACACGCACGCACACATATGGGCCACTCCATTCGCTTCAACAAATCTCAAGAACGGAAGCCGTTCGGAGAAATAGAGTTCAAGTTTATTTTCCCGAACGTTCGGAGAAATAGAGCCGGCCTATTTATAATTTCAGGCCACCTTTATTCTCACCCCTGGTGAGAATTATAACCCATGTCTTGCTATTTCTTACCTGGGGCATGAGGCGAGGACCTCTCGCAAGCCGATAAAATCACCTAGGCCCTTGGGGGCTTACCGCGTGTGGTTGGGAACGAATAGATAATGTAAAATCAGTTTTCGCCTCTCCAGTAAAAAAAAAGGCTCACTACCGACGCTACTGAGCGGGATGTGGGACCGGCCGGACCATTCGTTGTTTACACTCTTAACGATGGCAGTCCTCTCACTCTCTGCCAACCTTATGGTTCAAGGAACAGAGAGCGTGTGCAAACGTAACAAGACACAAGCACGAGACAATAAATGTTCTTGCACAATGGTAGAAGGGTTGTAAATTATTCAGACCAAAAGGGTGAGGGCGTTAAATCGTGTTAACTTGTTTAATAATTGCAGTCCGAGCTCTTTTCTTCACTTTGATTTTTTTTCTTTTATTTTTTCTTTTTGTTTTTTTCTTGCCATTTCTTTCCCTTTCTTCTTGAACATTTGGAGTTTAGAGCCGAAAAACGAGTCAGAGAGCCAAATGAAATTCTGCGGGCCAGACATGATCAAAAAGAGCCACATTTCTGGGATTTGGCACCAAACTGACTCTGACAACCCTGACTATGACTATTCGGAAATGTAATTGTGCAAGAAGTTCATAGGTAAATAGGATGTACTAGGGGTGAATTTGTTGAATTTTTCTGAAAAATGGGTCTCTGTGGCGGCCATCTTGGATTTTCAAACCAGTTTCTTAATGCAGAATAATTTCATAGTAAATATTGAATTATCAGCCTGAAATTTGGCACACAAGTACAAACATATATGTGAACCTGGGATCCATGTAAGGATTTTGACCTATCTTTGAAACTAAAAAAGTGAGCCCAAACTCATTGAACCCCCTAGAGTCAGTTGACGAAATTTTGGGGTACATATTACAAAAAATTTGAATATTTCCTCAAGTTACCTATATTTCTCAATTCCCTCACTTAGATCCCCAGAATCGATTTTAAAGCACTTGTACGCCAAATTTGAAGCTTCTAGCGTCAGTAAACTCCTTGCACCCAGGAGGTCACATGTCAAAAATTAGATTTTGAGAAAAAAAGAAAAAACAGGGATTTTAAAAATAATTTTTAGAGCAATTTGCACTTTTCAAACGCCCTTTTAGGTCATTTAGGGTGTTTTTTCAACAGTTTCTTCATTGTGACCCGCTAGAATAGTTGTCAAAGGATGTTTTTCCGCAAAAACAAAAGTTGGATAGTTTGAAAATTTTTATTGATATTGCCTGGTATAGCCGACCCGGGTCTTCCCTTAAGAGATTGGACTCAATAGGACGCTGAGCTGCAAATGGACAGAGCTGCTAGTAACGGAGTACAAGTACTCCGGTACTTGTACTTACGTTACAATTTTCGGTACTTTTACTGTACTCCGGTACATTTTTGAAACCAGTACTTTTACTGTACTCCGATACTTTTTATAAAAGTACTTTTGAGTACTTTTTAAGTACATTTTGAGTACTTTGGTAGCTTAATGAAAGGGTAAGTGCAGGCATTTCTGATCATAATTTACGGAGCAAAAACCCGATCAACCGCCAAGAGTTAAAAGTTGAGATCAAAGAACGGCCCGTCGCCTCAAAGATCAGCCACTATCGTGAATGTGTTCACAAGCGTTGTAAAACTCCTTGAAACGGTACAGTGTTTGCTCCAGACGGGATCACACCAAGGTGTGAACTGACCGATGCGTTTCTTTTCCCCAAACGTCGCACTCGCATCTGACCTCACCACCTAAACTTACATCACTCCCTGGGTGGGAAGGGCCTACAAGTTCCCTCCAGGCGGGATCACATCAAACTGTGAACTCTTCCCTGACCATTGAAAGCAGTTTTTCCCGAATTTGCGAGACAACCTGAATTTTAATTAGTGTGGTCACATCGTAATGGTGCGTAATGACAAAGGAGGTTGGGGTGGGGGGGGGGGGGGGTGCTCAATCAGAGATGGAAAGCTGAAATTGTTGGACAGGTAAAGGGGAGGGGCAACTGGATAAACGTAGAGATAAAGATCTCAAGACTCACGATAGGCTAATGAGTGTGTATATATAATATTATTTATGGCATGCCTCATGCCACTGTGATTGGTAATCAAGGTTGACCACTCTTTGCTTGCCATATGTCATAAATCCGCCCAGGGGTCACGTCAGTTCATGGGTCACTGTAGATTCTTCCTTGGCTTCGTTGGCTAAGATCCCATATTTTCCTTGCTTCCGAGCACTGGGATCTTAGGCGGAGACTACTGCAGTAGAGAATCTTTGGTTACACTACACTTACTAGACTCTAGGAAACTATTGTATTTTGGTTTGCCGTTGGCGCCGTGGACTACACAGTGTAACCAAAATCTGTCAGACCACTATAATCAATTGAAACTGAAACTGTGTTCTCAATGTGTATCTAACAATTTTTAGGCTGCCTAAATTTCTTTTAAACTTTTTTTGGGTGGTTTTTGCTTAAGGCTACATTGATTCCTTGAGGATTTGTTAATGAAGAATTCAATGCACTTTTCCAATTTCTATGCGGGCCATTTTCATCAATTTTATGTTTTCTTAAGAGCAACTTTGTATCTACATTTTTCAATTTGGATACTCTTTCTGTAGAACTTTCCGACCTCTAGGACTGACTTACATTTGATCACATTGTCTTGCTCAAACAAGTTCTATTCATAATATCACTTACCCACTAGTTGCGTCTGTTCGTTTGGATTGTTTTTTGTTCAACTCCACGGACCATTTCCACCGTTCAGTGCGTACATTGTATATTCAAATGCTCTGTATACTGTTTACATTTTTAGTAATAAAGAGCCTAATTTGTCAAATATACTGGATAAGTTATAAAATATGATGTTTTGCATAAGCGCTGAAGTGTTTTAGCATATTAGCAGAAAGTACTCAAAATGTACTCATAAGTACTTTTTTAAAAAGTACTTGTACTCAAGTACATTTTATAGGAAAGTACTTTTACTGTACTTAAGTACATTTTTTAGATTGTACTTAAATTTGTACTTAAGTACTTTACTTTAACAGCTCTGCAAATGGAGTAGAACTAGATCTAGATCTATAAGGGGAAGGAGCATGGAAACTGCCTGTGCTAACAGCGTGCTACGCAAAATCATCCCTCTTTTTTAAAAATCACGATCTGATGGCGCTCGGGCATCCCACTTGCGAGGTCAAACGGGTCAAACAAGAGGCTGTTACCCTAAATATTGACCAATGGCGTTTAGTTGTCATTCTCTAGCTGTCCTCTTGTCATTTTTTTCAGGAGGGGAGACACCCCCTGGTGAAAGAGCTGACTTCAGGTAGTGGAAGTGACGCGAAACGGTAGTGATTCTCCAAAAATACCCAAAAAATTAATAGCCTGCCCTTATACTATACTGCGGTCATACTAAAATGCGAAATGACGCGAAAAAAAAGCAAAAAAGATACCTGCGATTGTCCAGTAGTCCCCATCCCCCTTATTTTGGCCTATTTTATTTGAAATTCGCAAAATTGAGCTCGATTTAGTATTCGAGTAGTAGGTCTAGTAATTAAAGACTACGCCAAGGGCTAGTATTGTTAATTGCCGTCATTAAGTGCATGTCTGGGAAATTGACTGTCGTCCGAACTGTTGTCATTGTTGTTTTGGTCCTAAGTGGAAGTACAATTTGGCCCATCTTTGTTTGATAATGTAACATTATTGCCAAGTTTGAAAGTGAACTTCTAGAGATAACATCCGTGCCAGGCGAGAATTGGAAACTCAGTAGTCAGAGAAATGTTGGGCACAAATGATGTGATAATGCATCTCATCCAACATCAAAGAATCAAACGGTTTGGACATCTCATGCGATTACCAACACACCATCCAGCACAATGTGCCTACAGAAAAAAATTCAATGGCAACGAGGCTAGAGGGCGAATGAGAAAGACCTAGATAGATATCCTGGAGTCAGGTAAACACTAACAACTCATGGCATCCCCCTGACCCAAGCTCTCCGGCTGGTGGCAGAGAGACGTCTCTTTCTTCCTGCGACACCCAAGAGGATATAAGCGGCGGATAAAAGTTAAAGGAAAGGAAAGTGAACCATTTTCTGTGCCATTCACAGTTACAAAGAAGCCTTTAATTCAAGTAATTTTCATTCTTGTAGTACTGCAGGAGATTCATATTTATAAATCTCTTCAAATATACGATCTAGACCGATTTCAGTCAAATTTTAACTTGATTATATTCCCGAAACAGGAGAATAGGCAAATAATAACTGGGGTTTGGGAACTGCAGAAAAAGCGCCAAGATATGATACAGGTACCTATTTGGGAGGGGATTTTAGAGTAGACTCCGGCAACTTCACCACTCTCAGTTGGCTTGCAACAAAACAAGCCTACACCCCCTCTTTTGCTCAATGTACATGACCCCTGTTTCGTCTGCAACTTTTCCTACATATATATATATATATATATATATATATATATATATATAACAGTAATAATATGCAATGGTATATAATTATATAGGTAATCTTTTTAATTTTTTTCCAGTCAAGATGGAGGTTGAATGGCCAGGACGATGGAACCATTTGAAAAAGATACTGGAGCGTAATGGACCATTTGCTCATCCAGATTTTGAACCTTCTTCTGAGGTAAGTCATACTGTGGGAACTCATTTTCTTATCATCATCAAGTGCCAGATCTGAGGCGCCCATTGGCGATCGTGGTTCTCCATTCATTCCTTTCCTCGGATGCTCTTTAAAAAAAGCTACATTACTCTGATTTTTCCTGTTACCCTTTTGTTTAGGTTCTTCCAAGTAGGTTGCTCTGGGCCTACCCCTGCCTCGTTTGTCTTCAATTTTGCTAGTGAGAAAAGACTAGATTTTCAAGACCTTTATGTCTATTCCGATGTCTCAAAAACTGCATTTGTCTTTTCCTGATTGTTTTTAACAGTGGGCATCCCACGTGAGCTTCATCAATGTCAAGTGTCACATTTTCTTATCATTAGATCAAATTTAATGTTTGAGCAACGTGCAGTTTATTTTAAATGCAAATTAGTTCTCAGTGCAGATTGGTTTGGGGCAATAAATCCCCCATCTCCACTCCAGTGACTGCAAGTGTTCTGGTTATATGCACAAACAAAATGTTAATAATATACTAAAGGTTGAAAGAAAGGTTTGCACAACTGTCTAGACTTGCCTTGACAATAAACTTGATGTTGTTGACTTTTTGGCTATTGTCAAGAAATACAAATTTATCTTTTTTATTTTTCAAATTTTTCTTTTTCTAAAGGAGCATGGAACCTTTTTAGGAGTCACCTTGGAATTGATCTAAATGAGCTTAAGATATTTATATATATGTATATATATATATATATACATTCCCTGATGTATACTCTGGTCTTCAAGAGATTTTTCTGTATCACACTGTCTCATTTCAACATAAATCTTAACAAATTTTTGTGTTTTGAGGAAAGGAAAGTGCTTTAGATAGGCTAACGCTACATTGTCTATCAATTCTCATGTTTCTAATGATCTGATAGATTTACAGGTAACTGAAATTGAAAATCATTCAATTTCAGCGTGTATAGTTTCCCTCAGCATTTGACCTCGTACTGGACTTAGTTTTGATAGAGGAGTTCTTTTCCATTATATAGTTTGTCAGGGTGTCGGTCTAAGAAAAACTATTTCAGAAAAGTTGGGAAAGAAATTTTGAAATGCTTTACAGTAAGAGCCCCTTTGACACAACAGGTTGGGATGATACAGCATCTCATCAGAGAGATGAAGACTTTTTTTCAACAGAAACTCGGCGTTGCTGCCCAAAACACTCATCTTTCTTACTCAAGCCGGGACCTAGACATTTTGAATCTAGTCATCTTCTTTGGGACATGGCTGGCCCATGGAACTTAAATTTTATGTGTAATTAATTTTTCATGCCTGTTGTGCTCTCCAGAATCTGTCGTTCGTGAAAGATGTTTGTAAAATCCTAGTTATTGGTGCTGGAGGACTGGGATGTGAGCTACTTAAAGATTTGGTATGTAAAAGTTTTTCACAATTCTTGTCTTTGTACACATTGCTGTCATGTTCAGGCTTGTCTGTTTGCAAGTGTCTTATTGGTCGCTGTTCATTTTGTGCCCATCACAGCTGGTCACAGAGGTCTATTCATTGCTCTTATCTTCAAGTAGAGATGCTTTTTTGAAAACAAAAATTGTATGCTACTTTTATTGAACCCCATGGCATTTGTTTTTGTAAAATTGTGCTAAGTAATAAGCAAGCATCCGAAATAAAAGGATTTTAATATTTTGAACACTGATTTAGAGTGCTGTATTGAGTAGCAGACAAAATGTATAGAAAGTGCCATTTTGCAAAAGGTGACACTTCTAACTTGAAATCAGGATGTACTTCATATCTGGACTGACTTTGCAACAGGATGGAAATTGAAATAGCTTTTTTTACCTCCAGGCTTATATGGGTTTCCGAGACATTCACGTCATCGACATGGACACCATTGATGTTTCTAACTTAAACAGACAGTTCTTATTCAGGTGAGATGAAAAAAGATTGCCATGATATTGCATGTACTGTCACAGACACAATTTCAATGCTTTGAGGGATGGAGTTGCTGTCTTGTTGCTGAAATTATTCATGTTCTGAGTACTTTCTACCCCCCCCCCCCCCGGGGGCGGTGCCACGGACTGAAGTGTCTTTAGGCCATTCCCAAAGGGGAGGACATTTCTCGTTCACGCACTGTAGAATTGTAAATGGGCTGATTCATCAATGTCACGCTCATAACTGTGCCTGATCTACATCAGGAAACTGCTGCTTTTTCTTTGCTAATCCTTACTATTGTCATTTTCCTCTACTTCTTTTGTATGTTTGCCACATTCTTGTGACCCGCTATTTCCGGGGTGCCTTGAAAGTCGAAACAGACTTTGTGCTGTTGAAGCTAGAGAGGTGAGCAAAGTAAGCCTTATTCCCTGTAAAGACTTCACTGTTGACATCCACCCCTTGGTGCTCATATGACCTTATGCACCTACGAGTGCCGTAAAACCTCTACTGAATAATAATGAGTACTTTCAGCTGAAATTTAGAAATAGGTAGTGAGACTTTATGTATTTTATTTTGAAAGAACACACCATGTTAAGGAACTGGGAAAAAAACCCCACTACAAAGATAATGGGGGCATCAAATACAGTTTAAAGTGAAGGGTAGGGTTTGTTGTTTTTTATGATACCCCTGCTGCTGTGCTAGGAATAAAGTTTAGCATTGAATGCTCTTGGCCCTGGTTGTTGAATTTGCAAATGTCTGAATTATAGCTTTTATTTTTTATTTTGACGTATGTAATAATGCAAAATGACTGAAACAGATGATCAGGCCGTTTTTAGAATAGTAATTTTTCTTACATTTGAAAGGTAATCAACTCAAAAGTAATATAGATAATTTGTATAAGATCAGTGTTTGTTTCTGTGTCATCAGGGCCAAAGATGTTGGAAAGGCCAAAGCTGAAGTAGCTTCTGCTTTCATCAATGCCAGAGTTCCCGGATGTAAAGTGACACCGTATCCTTTATGTGGTCACCAGTGTTTTGTTGCTACTTGTATTGAAAATATCATGCTTTTGTTTCGAATTTCTTGGTGATTATAGTTGAAAGGAGGAAATTTGTACAGGAGTTTGATAATGCGTCTTAAAGTTAATCTTGCCATTTTGCTTCTGTCTTGAAATTTGTCTGCAATCCCACAGTGTTGTACTGTCTCGTTACTTTTGAGTTTGATTAAATATAGTTTTAGATAAAGAAACAGTTCTTTCTGAAAACACATTTTCTTTAACTCTCATCAAGACATTTTGCAAAAATTCAAGATTTTGATGAGTCATTTTACAGAGGTCAGTATGTCCTGATGTTGAAAATGTGTAGCCTAATTTTTGGGGTGTTTTTAATGTTTTCATTTTAGTTGTCTTACACTGAGAGAGGATATTCCTGTAGACTTTTATTCCTCTTTCTTTAACTTGGTGTAGAACGAGCCCATTCAAATAAATACCCTATTGTCCTATCATTTTATTGGGGTTCGAAAATGCTTATGACTAGTTATAATTGACATCAATTTCTTACTTTTATGAATCACTCAGACACACAAACATTCATAGACTCACTCACATACGCGCACACACACACACACACACACACACACACACACACACACACACACACACACACACACACACACACACAAACATTCATACAAACACATACACACAGACACACACTCATGTACACACAGACACACACACATACACACACACACACACACACACACACACACACACACACACACACACACACACACATACAGAGAAACGCGCACACACATGCTCACAAGCACACAAACATTCATACAAACACACATACACACACAAATTGCTCACTCACATGAAATCACTCACACACATGTTATGTCCCTTGACTTGATTGTATAACATATCACTTTGTTATCAGTTATAGCTAAAATGATTTGTACCAATCCCCCCCAGGTTTTCACATTGTGGTCTGTGGTTTGGACTCGATCATAGCCAGACGCTGGATCAATGGCATGCTGGTTAGTTTTATAGCCAGTGTGTTTGTTGACAAATGTTATTACTTTTTGGGAACATGTTTACTTTGGAAAACATGAATAAGATTTGTACTTACACTAATGTGATCTGCTTCATGACTCAACTTGGGTGTCTGTTTTACCATAAAATTTGAACCTGGTGTTTGTCATCATTCACTCTTGCACTATCTAAGTTTTAAAAATATTTGTGTGGATATACTTTTGTCCAGAGTTCCAGACAATAAATGACATGCAGACTGTGTCTGGCCTGCTTCCATTTTGTATATATATATTTATATATGTATATGTATGGTTTTCTACAGTGTGAAATACATCTTCAGAAGACTTCTCTTTCTGCCATCTGGTCTAGCTATTTCCACTCTTCATTTTTGTTTATGTTGTCAATTGTATTGTGCTATGTAATTCTAGTTAGGCTCAAGTTAAAATTATTTCAACATTTTTTTTTAAAAACTTCAACCACATAGGAAAATACCATGGGCCCTATATATATGAAAAAGTCTAGATTGCATCGTGAAAAGTCTAACAAGCCTCTATGAAACGGAAAGACAAAGCAATATTGTTGTATTGGAAAAAATTAAACTATTGAATTAATGAAACAGAAGGACCAGGCAAGTTCATTATTAGGGAAAGTCTAGAGAGTCCTTATAAAAAAGAAAGATGAAGCAAGTTTATTATTGTGAAAAGTCTAGACAGCCCTTGTAGATTGGAAATGAAAAGCAAGCTTGTTGTCCTCTACAGATCAGTTTACTACAGTACGAGAACGGGGAGCTGGACCAGAGCTCTCTTATCCCCATGGTGGACGGTGGCACCGAGGGCTTCAAGGGCAATGCCAGGGTCATCTTGCCGGGCGTATCCGCATGTGTCGAGTGTACGCTTGGCTTTTACCCTCCTCAAGTAATGCAAGGCTTTTACTCTGAATGATGGCTGTCTGATTTTATTAATTTTTTAGATTTGTGATTTTTTCCTGTTCTTTTTCTTGTCAAAAATGTTATGGAACTACTTATCACTTTCTTTAGTCTCATTGCCTCTTTGTGCCGGCCGACGCCCATCCCACCTCTCCTCTTCATCTTCTTCATCTTTTTCTCAATTGCATCACACTTGAAGTCCAATATATCTATAATATACTGGGCTGTCCTACTCAGTTCTTCCAATGGCCCGTACAGCTCTCTTCTGCGGTTTTTCAGTTTTATGCGATTGGAGTTCTGCATAAAGCAATTGTAAGGCAGTGTGTGGAAAGCAGGTGCTCGTCAAAATAATGGAAGTGAAGAAACTGGCATTTTTCCGCAGGTTTGGGAATTTTTATCTAATTTTTTATTTTTTGACTCAACACCTTCAATGCCTATTAAAGAACCCATTTCTGTGTGGATTGTCCTGAAAAATGTCAATTAAAGGCATAAAAAATGTAAATTTTCTGTTTCCAAGGACTCTCAGACTATGGAAGTTAACAGATTTTGGCGTCCATTTTCTCGCTAATTTTACTTCTGAAACCAGGCGACCTTGTCCTCCTTCAATTGTAAATATTTCGACTATTATTCAACATAGTTTCATCAAAGGGAAGGCAAATGAAGAGGCTTCAAGATGATACCAATAACCCCATATGCCCAAAAGTTGACGAGCGCCTGATTTCACCACGTCGTGACACAAATGGTCTCCATCATTAGTATTTTTTTTCTTTTTCTTAAGCTTCTCAATGATAATGCTCCTTTTTACTTTGTTAAAGGCAGACTAGTACCCTTTTCATAGTTACAGAACCTTACATCAGTACAAGACCTTTGTTGCCAGTATTGTTTGTCCCTGACTTTTAGCTTTGAAAACGGCGGAAGGCCTGTAGGTACAGCCCAAGTTATATGGGTTCTCCACAAAGTGTGACTGGTTTCGTCAAAACCAGATTTTGTATGTCTTGAAATAACAGAACAACTTCTGCAGCTGTTCATATTTTATAGCTATCCAAATTGTTTCACGTGCCCTTCAATTTATATTTACTGTATCAGTTTTCCATTCTTCTTCATTAAGTGAAAAATTGTGTTAGGCTGTGGTTAGAGGGTGCTCTGGTGTGTTTTGCTCCTTCTTTTCTATCAAACATCTGTCATCCTTATCTCTCTGCCTTCTTTTTTGTGTTTGTCACTCTCTTGTAACACCCTTAATCTTCAGTACTTATACGACCTTCTTATTGTGTTGCAAGTGTCATAAAACTCTAACTAAAACATGATCCAGGAGACTTACAGGAGGAAGGAATCAGATACCATGATCGTCTTTGTCTGCTCCAGACCTAACACCTGGAGAAGAAGAAGATTGTGTTTATATGTTTCTCTTCACTCATACTTTAAAAAGTAGATGTCCAGTGAAAAGCGATGATAAGCCTACATTTAATAGTGGAAAACACATCGATGTTTTGAGATGTAATTTCAATAATCCAATATCTGTGACTGACTGGACAGGTTAACTTTCCCCTGTGCACCATTGCTCACACTCCGCGACTGCCAGAGCACTGTATAGAGTTTGTGAGGATCCTGTTGTGGCCCAAGGAAGAACCATTTGGAGGTGAGTAAAGTCTCGTGCACTTGGTTGTCTAGCATTTAGGCTGCCAGACTTGCAGCCGTAAGGTCATGAGTTTAAATCACAGTCTAGGCCCAATGGTTTTTTTCCTTTAAACAGGCACTTTACTTCGCCAATTTTCCTCACATCACTCTGTTGAAAATGGGTACCATCTGAAGACAGATGAAGATCTTGTCAGAATGTTAAAAATTGAGCACCTGTTAAATGGCGCCTTTCACAGATAATGTTTCGGAATGTTAAATGATCTATCGAGATAACAATAGATATTTTTAAGGGCATTTAAATACTTTCTAGCACAAATGTGCACTATGAGAGAACAATTTATTATTGTTATTATTATTAAATTCTCTATTATTATTATAATTTTATTTTTATTATTATTATTATCATTATTATTATTATTGTTACTACTACTATTAATATTATTCAGTCACTCTGCATGATTATAACCATTGTCATGTGTCTTTAGATTTAGATCATAGGTGAAAAAAGTCATTTATCTTAAGGCAGAAGTCTGTCATTCTGAAGAAGAAGATTGTCTCCTATAAATGGACTTCAGGTTGAGAAATAATCTGTTTTCTATTACCCTATTTTTTTTTTTTTACAAATTTCGTTGGAATAGAATTAAGATAAAGACACTTCTGTGTTTTAAAAAAGTTGCATCTTTAAAGGTATGAATGTGTGAAAGAGAAAAGGTTAATGATTTGAAAATTCCCAGTTCCATTGCCTTGACACTCTTTATATGCAACCGAAATCATTTTAGCATTATTTTGTGTCGTCTGTTGAGCAAAACGTTGATTTAAAAAAAAAAAAAAATTTGTAAAGTATTACATTTCATACATATTTTTAGAGCATATCTTAATTTTTGAGTTGGAAAAATAATTATGTGGTTAACGTTTCCATGTAGCTGGCAAGCCTATTGATGGAGACGATCCTCAACACATTAAATGGATTCTACAAAAGTCGCAAGAGAGAGCCAATGAGTACAATATTTCCGGAGTTAATTATAGACTGACTCAAGGTTTGTGTTAAAATAATCATTTGAGTAAACTTATCTAACCTTTAGAAAGGTATCTTTAGAAGCTAAAGCAATCTATATAATTAAGGTGATATTTTAGTTTTAAAGTTTTATTGTGTAACCTTTTAGTAAGGTGTCCAGGGTTTTCTTGTCTGTTTCATTGTTTTTGCTTGATGTTTTGAAATAATTCTATGCATTTTTTTTCATCCCGGCAGCCACAATAAGCTTCAGAAAAAAGTGTAAGGTTACATTTGTGTGTATTATGATGATATACATTTTCACATGAGAGATACCGCTCTTCGTCTGCCTCATTTTACAAGAGTTAAAGTATCCAGTTCAGTTTGTAATAACAAAATAAAATAGTTTTTCTTATTGCAAGGGTTAGCATGTGGTCCAAAATCTTGCAGGCATTTATTAATGCTTTGAATGAAGCAGAGGAATAGTCAACTCCCTCTCCTATAAGTTTTAGAACGGTAATTGACATTGATAATTTTTATTCATTGTTTTCTTCTTTCTTTTTTTTACATGCCAATCATAAAAATATGCATTGTACCATCTTTATTTGTAGGTGTGGTGAAAAGAATCATGCCTGCTGTGGCATCCACTAATGCAGTCATATCAGGTTTGTTGTGTTTGATAACTTCCCTGAAGTACTCTGAGTTAACAAAATATTTGCACTGCAAAAACAAACAAAAAATAATTTATTTTTTTCTAAACCCACTAAAAAACATACTTTGATGTGGGCATGTTATTCAGTCAAAATCACTATGCCATTGTGGATAAACTGGCTATATCACTGTACTTTGAATAGTTTTAAACTTTGCTATTCACCAATAGTGTGTCATATTTAGAAGTTTTACGTAAGCATGAAAATTGCTCCTTTTCACAAGACAGACATTGCAGCTTGTTAACAGACTTTGAAGTGAATTAAGTCTCTCTAATTGTTATACAGTCAAACCTGCTCAAACTGTCGCCTGTATAAACGGCCACTTTCCATTTCCCCCTTGTAGTATATATATATATATATATATATATTTCCATTATATCGACACTGTGTAAGATGGCCACCCGTCTGAGATGACCACTTTTCTCCTCGACAATGGATGGCTATATGAGACAATTTTGACTGTTTTTCTCATATTTTTTACATTATATTCTGTATTCAATTTCTTTTTATGCCTATACACTGGAAATTTGATATCATCACATGCACTGTGGGTTTTTTTAAATGATGGTTATAATTTCAGTTTCATCAAGTTATGCCTTTATTAAACCTGTCTCTTAAGACTTGCTTAGAACAAAGGCTGATTTTTCTCCCTTTGCTTGAATTCATAATAGTACCCTGCTTGAACCTGCCTAATTTTGTTACATTTTGTATATAAATGCAATGTAATAGAATATGAAATAACATTAGCAACCCTTTCCCTTTTTTGCAGCTGCCTGTGCGACAGAAGTTTTCAAGCTAGCAACCAGGTGGGCTAAAGTTAAAGAAATGATCAAAACGTAAATAGAGGAAAAAGGATGCTGTCTTATTCTGTTTCGTTTTTTCTATGGCAGTTAGACAGTCAGTCTAGTGGTGCGCACAAACTATGCAGTTCATGGTAGGTCTTTGAGGCTGCCATACAGTTATCACTCGACTGTTGTAGCTTATTGCCTTGTCGTCTGTGCTCTCCTTAGGGTTATGAAAGATCCTGTCATTTTGGATGATGATAGAGGGTTGCTGCACTCTTCAGTAGGCTTGTAGATGAAGTATTAGCCCTTGATGATGACTTGAACAAATCTCTGAGTTGTCACATGAAAGTCGTCATAGCCCGTTATGACAGAAGTGATAATAAATAAAGGAAAAATTATGCAATGTAAAGTAATATAAATGCGATGTGAGCCTTGCAGATATGTGCCACGCATGCAGTTGCGCCTTAAAACGCTTACCAAAACAAAGCACAAAAGATGCATGCCAGAAGGAAGAAATCTTTTGACAAAAAAGCTTAGCGGCATAGATCTTTTAGTGACGTGTTAAGAGTTAAAGGTGCCCCATCGTAAAAAAGGAAAGGCCCACAACTCTAAAAGAAAGAGAAAGGGAGTACACAACACTTACTTAAGTCCGAGCAATGTAAAGTGAATGTTTTTGTTAAAAATGTTTTAGTTAAAAATATTTTTTACGTGAATGTCAGAATCTCTCATGAAAATGAAAAGAATGATAGATATTAATTTGGTGTTATCAGTGGATGTGGTATCTTACAAAGCAGTGTTAAGAAAAATATGACAGAAAATGATCATTATCCAGTTCTGGATGAAAAAAATTTTGTCAAGTGTCTGAAATTATTTTTTTTCTCTCATTTCTTTTTAAAGATAGCAACTTTATTTTTCGGTTGTGGTTGAGCATAGTAGGCAGCTTTAGTGCAGTGATTGAGTTCAAATTTACTTTGTTAATTCAACACCTTTTTTAAAAATTTGTTTTTTATCTTAAAGTTGTAAAAGACCTCAAACTCCCCTTTATTGTTATATTGATTTCTGTGATTTTTTCCCTGTAGCTGCTATGTCCCTCTTAACAACTACATGAATTTCAATGATACCAGTGGAGTATACACATACACTTTCCAGGCAGAAAAATTGGTGAGTAGATCTTCTATAAATAATAATGTGATTATTTTGTTTGGGTTTCTTTTTGGGATGGTTGAGGGGAGGGGGGAGGATGCTGTATTTTCGCCTAACTTATTGGATAACGAACAAAAAGCAATGTTTACCTCGCATTATAGATGGGGATCTTGAAATGTTTCAACAGAAAATGTTCTGGGCGTTTAGAAATGTCTGAAAATTTAGTGTCCTTTATTTTGGAGGTCTGAGTATATGATTGCGAATGCTCAGCTGATCCTTATAATTGCTATTGCATTTGATATCTCAGTGTATTTTAGGTTTGTCACTTTTTGAGTTTATTGTCTGCTTTGTACATGTTGAGTCATTGTCAGGGTTAATATTATAGTTTCCTGTCTAAGACTTATGCAGTTCCTTAGTTTAGTATTTCTCTTTTTAGCAATGATAGTTATTCTTTTTCAAAATATTTTTTCTTAGTAATTATAAGTACGACTTCTTTTTTCCTCTGCTCTTTCCATGAAATCCTTTTTTAAAAAATATCTTTGATTAAATTTTCCAAAAGCTCGATGTATACATGTGCAAATGAGATACGCTCCATCATTCCTTGCATGCTCTTGTGCCTTTTTCTTCCTAGGATGACTGTCTGGTGTGCAGCCTGAAACCTCAGACCTTGACCTTCACTGAGACAGACAAGTTGCAGGATATCATCTCCCACCTACAGGAGAGTCCCTCTTAGTGAGTCCAGCTCTTGTTCACTGACTGTCCCGCAGATTTGTTTGTGCTAGCTGTGTATGGGCACTCTGATGTGGGTTGCAGAAATGATTGGTACTATTTTACACCCCTGTTGACACAATTTAGATCATCTAGCTGGTGGGCAATTGTTACCTTGCCTGTTAGGGCTTACCCAAGCTGAGTGACGGGATGCACCATTCAAGCGGACAGACAAAGATATCTACTAGTAGGCCTACTAGTAACATTACTTCTTCACCCGAGAATTGGTCTCTCTACTTCTGCACACAGTAGCAAAGGGCCTAACGGTCTGCCTAACCGTTACTTCACAGATATTTTCAGTGTGGGTTCCTTTTTCTGCCTTTTGTTTTTACTACATTTATCCCTGTGTGTTTGTGGAGGAAAATGGCTGTTATCTTCCATGTTCACTTGCCATAAATTACCGCTAATCAGTGTCTTTAAACTCGTTTGGAACAGGCCATAAGTTTCTGTCCAGCTTCAGTCGAGACCAGTTGGGGATAAAAAGTTGCCTCTCCATGCTTTTACTAGGCAGTTCAGTGAACGAGATCGCCTCGCTGCGAAATCCGCTCCTCGCCACCCGTAGAAAACTGTGAGTTGCGGATTGCGTTCGCAATTTGGTGACCTCAGAAAATCGCGCGAATTTGTTTCGTTAAATAGTAATAAACCACTGCTTCCGATACATGTTTTTGTAGATTTTTAAATCATCTACAAAATGGCGTCTTCCTTTGGCAGATCCGACTAGTAGAGCCAGAGATATTTTGATTTGAATTTAAGCCAAGTTTCAACATTTGATATCTTTTTCCCCACTAGCCAGGCAGTTTTGTAACTTTTCTGGCAGTTAGAAATATTCTTTATCTTTAAAATAAGCCTAGAATGGCTGTATTTAGCCCTGTCTAACGGCGACTAGAGCCAGCACACTTGATAGCAAAAGTTGTTTTTCTATAGGCAGCATCGGCGTGCCGGGACTGGGCAATGAGTCGCTTTAACACAATCCGGATAACATGTTAGTGCACCTCTTCGACAAAGCCAAATGTAATGAACCGCTTCAGCAAATGGATCAGAACCACTTCGACAAATGGGTTAGCATCACTTCAACACTAATGTGTGCACCCACTTCGGTAAACGGGTCAGGAAAGAAAGTTAAGAGTCTGAATTCGGATGTTTCATTGAGAATTGTCCGGTTATCCGGATATGATATTCGGATTTTGTCCACCTTTAGTTCTGGGTCTTTGCCGCATCGCACTTTTCGCCTTCCTAGTAATCCTAGTCCTAGTTGTTTGGTGTTATTTTTTTCTATTTAATATCTTCAATTTTTGCTGAACAGGAGATCATTGGAGCGTACCCATGGTATATCTGTACACAGATATTATGTTTAACACTTGTTTTCTTTTGCCAAGGTCTGTGCACAGTGATTTTGACTTTGAGAAGATTATTTTTATAGATTCTAGATTTTCTAGAGACAATTAAATTTTTAAAAATAATTTTGATTCTTTTGGCTTACAGTTGCACATATTATGTATCATGTATATTGTGCAGTTAGTTGAGTTAGCTCTTACTAAAGTCTTACATTCTTCGTTTTAGTCTTTGATTTATATATAGGCCTACTAGCTTTTTCTCAAGTTTCGTAGGCCCAAGTCTCTGTACTATCATTTATAGTCTTCGGCACTCGTAGTTGATTTATCTTTAGAAAATTCTTTCCCTTTTTCCTCAAACTGTTCATCGCTACTGGTTTTATGTTCACACAAATGTCTGGTCACAATGAAAATTACTTGGAATAGCATCTACGATCTAGCAGGCCTCTTATGTGATTTTCAATCAAATATTTTTTTTGTGCTTGATTTTTACCTCAATTTGTTCTTTTCTCCTTTTCTAGTGCAGTTTGAAATTTTTTTATCCTCTTCTTATATTCTCTTTTAACAATGTGTTTAATAAGACGATCAAAATGATACGTGACACGTGCACTTCGGACTATTCCTTGTTGAAATATCAGCGCTTATTTTCAAATTCATCCTTTTTCGGACACATGAAAATTGACCCCACTCTTAATCTACATACCATGTTAAAGAGATTTATGAGACAAAACTGTTTCTGTTTCTTTCATATGAAAGTACACATAATAACCTTTGATTTGAGGCAAAAAACAGGAAGATATCTTTACAGGTTCCGAAGTTATGTACATTTTTATCGATATTTGTCCTCCTTTAGTCACAAAATGCAGTGCAAAAAAGGACAGATTTTGAGCGAAAAATGAAGTAGAAAAAAATCCCATAACTTCTCAACCAATACAGATATTGACAAAATTCAAAAAGCACTGTGATTAGTGTGGCAGGACCTTTGATTTGAGCCTATGTTCATCAAAATCTAACAACTTTGAATTTTTCACTGAACTGCCTACTTTTACTTTTTTCAGGTGTCTCTTTCGTTTGTCCATCATTTTTGCTTTTTTTATATTGTGGTCTGCCCATTCTTTTTCTTTCCTGTATTCTGTATGACTACGCTGATCTATGAGGGGTGAAACTTGGCCATTATAATGCCAACTGGTGGTGACATAGGATCTACAGCTCAACAACATGGCTGTGATTGTGATATTTATGATCTGCTGCTTTAGGTGTAGTTTTCAAGTTTTTGTTTTGTTTTGCTCCCAGTCAGATGAAATCGCCCGGCATCACGACGTGTGTTGATGGAAAAAACAAGACGTTGTACATGCAGACCGTCAAATCTATAGAGGTGAAGACGAGAGACAACTTGAAAAAAACTCTCAAAGGTTGGTGTCTTTCTTTCTTGATTTGCTTGTGGAAAAAGACGCTAGTGTTGGAATGTTACTGGGTTTTGTTTGTTTTGTTTCGGTTTGTTTTTGTTGTTTGTTTTGTTGCTTATTTGTTGTTGTTTTGGGGTTGTTGTTTTTTTGGGGGGGGGGTTCCAAAATGTAGTTTAAAAAAAGAACAACTTACTCAGAAAATTGATATTGTAACTTACTCCCTCTCATTAAAAAATGTTACTTGTTGGTTGCTGGCATGTGCTCTGGTGTGGTTTGCTCCTTCTTTCCTGTCAAATATCTATCGGCCTTGTCTCTCCTTCTTTGTTTTGTTTGTTAGTCACTTGTTACATCTAATCGTTGACTTATTTGACTTAATGTGTTGCAAGTGCCATAAAACGCTTTCTAAAACAAAATATTTCTTGTCTACTTCCAAAGCTATTCTCATAACCAGCCTTGGGGTGCTTATCTGTCGATTTAGCTTCATATTTATTATGTTATATCACATACTCTGTTGCCTATACAGTAGTCTCCGCCTAAACGCACGCCATACAAAAGCACGCTCCGCTCAAACGCACGCTTTCGTCAAGTGACGGGTTTTTTTACTATATAATTTAGACGTACCAACGCACGGTCACTCCCTCTAAACGCACGCTCCGATTCCAGGAAACACGCCGACAAGTTAAGCTGGGCAAGGGGAAAATTTCACTACAACCTGCACAGCCTGCATAAGACAAGCATAGAATTTACTAGAAAACCCGATATTTGGTGAGAGTGCCCCTCACGCTGTACAAAGAGAGTGATGGACTGCGTTTACACACCGTACTTTCTACTGACGCATAGGTCTCGGTCTAGGGCTGGTCGGTTAAATGTTGGGAGGGGGGGGGGGATTGGGGGAGACTGAAATGTTTTTTGGTTGGTCACTGGAAATGTATCTTTGAGAGAAGATTTCTGACTGGTGTTTGAGTGACTGCGTGTAGTAATGTTTAGTTAGACCTAGGCCTGATGCGCGACACGCGTAAATGCCGTAAAACACTAGACAGGCCTCTATAGGATAAAAGATTAGCCAAGTAAGCCTAATAAGCTGCGCTCGAAGAACTTATAACGTACTTGTTCAACGAATCACAAGAGAAAATGTTTCTCGAGGGTGATTCTGCATGAATTTACGGTCGGGGGGTGGTCGCTTGGAAAGCCACGTGGCCGGTCCGTCATCTCTATGACTATGACCAACAGTTTCCTCGTAGGCTTTCTGTTCCCGACGTTTTATAGTGCATATTCATTAAATTGAGTTTGTCTTTCTCTCCCCCCCCCCATTCATTGCCTTTGTATTCTTAACCCCTGTCGGGGAATCCTTCACAAAACAGTCACGTGTCGTCACAATATCTGCCAAAATAACCCCCACCCTCCAAGGGAGGTCACTAGAGTAATATGGAATTCATATTACTGCGTCCCTTCCTCCCTTTGAAAAGGTTCATGTAAACGCACGCTCCGTATAAACACACGCTAAGGAGCCCTCCCGAGCACCGTGCATTTAGGCGGAGTCTACTGTAGTCAATTTTCCTTCAATTATCAACAATCTGCCTTGAATGGTGAACTTCAATAGCACTAATTAATTGTTAAGTAATATTTAATGGTGCTGGGAGTGGAAGGTTATCAGATTAGCAAAATCTTCACCATCGGAAACATTACCATGTCCTGTCATAGATCTATGGTATGCCCTGAAAAATTAAAACATCCTTTCTCTATCTATAAATATTAATATTCAACTAAATATTCAACTAAACTAAACCTATACCTTTAATCTTTTTTACACCAGAGTTAGGCCTGACCACTGGTCAAGAGGTGTATGTGGCAGATGTGACGACCCCTGTGTCCTTGACATTCCGACTACAGCTGGGATCTAGCATGGACAACTCATAAGCTCGAGATGAATAAACCTCTCTTAAAAGTGTCCCATTGTCAGGGTTAGACTAGAGTGTATCAAAATGCAATTTTCTCAGCACGTGTGAGTGGATTGATGTTTGGGTTTTTAGCTGTTTACATCTCTTTTTTTTTAAATTGATGATTTGGAAAAAGTGTATGAAAGTTATTATCGGGGGGGGGGGGGGGGGGGGGGGGTTCATGTTGTTTTCTTCTTTTCCTAATTTTGGGTCCTATTTCTAATGACTTCAAGAGTGTGTATGAATGTTTTCAGGTTTGGGGTTGGGTTTGTTAGGTTGTTGTTTTTTTGCTGTTGTTCGTCTCTTTCTACAATTTGGTTCAATAGTGTGTGCATTTGTCTTTCAAGTGAAGTATTGTCAGGCGGTTTTGGGGAGAAGTTAAAATATTTGGGGTTTTTTGTTTTTGTTTTATTGTTTGAGAGAATATGTCCATTTGCAGTATGTGTCACCATATTTTTCTTTTTTTTTTTGGTATGACTTATTTGTTTTTTTTCTATCATTTCCCAAACTGTAAAAGTGTTTTACAGTGAATATTGCGCTTTCTGTGCCTTTTCCCTTCTTTTGCTATAAAGTGTCACTAATGTAGGTTAATCTGTGGTGTAATTAATAGATATGCTCTTTGCTGTTGCTCGCAACAGACATCAGTTCAATTCTCATGTGAGAAAGTATGTTATCGCGTAACTCCATCTTTTTGCTGAAAAACTGTATCCAGCCTTGACTCGCTGTCCATTTAGTCTGCATATTTGAAGGAGCAGCCCCTATCCCTTAAGTAACCTAAATTGTTTTGAGGAGAACCTTAAACATTTGCAATCATTATTTTAAGCCTTGGCATTATCTTATTGAGGTTCACAGTATTCCCCTTTGCATCTGCTGTACATTAAGAGGATCACCCCTTGCCTGACTTTGTAAGACATGCCTTAAAGTGCCGTCCAGCCATTAAAGCTAATGAGTGTTTAGAGTGAGAGGACCTCGGGGAAAATTAAGACTCGTTTTGCATGCAAATTTTCAAACACAAATCGACTGCTCAGTTTAAAACTCTATCATTCGTCACTTTTTTAAAATGGCATATGGAGGAAGTCTTACACAAAGTAGTGGAAATGAAGACAGGTAACAAGAGGTCTAATCAGTAGCAGAGAAAGGTCTGCCAACAGTTTTATAAATAAAGAATTATTTTCAAGGTTCAAAGTTCAAGAACTAATCACATCTGTGTATGTTCTCGTTTGGCAGTAATGCTGTTTTCAGTTTCGTTATATCGATGTTTATCTGTTAAATACAGTATTTTCGGTCTGTAAAATATTGTACGTTTGTATGGTAATCTTGTGCGTTTTGTCATTTCTGGAATGCCATACCTATGATCCCTGATGCCATATTTATATGATTGTCACAACTTTTTTTTCCATCTTTGATTCTTGTCTACTTTTGTTTTAACTGTCTGCCATCTTTCTTTATTGTCTATTTCAATGCATGTGTGTGTGTGTCCATTATGTTGAGGGTTCATAAACTTGAGGGTAGTTATATTTTAAGAACTTGACCCCACTGCCATCATAGCCGTTCACTATCTCAGAATTACAAAGTTCTATCTAACATTTTTGGCTATTTTGAGTTACTAAGACCATGAGGTCAGAGACCAAATGTTCTATTAGCTCTATCAAAATTGTTACATTATTCGGAGTTGTAAAGATGTAACAAAGAATTGCATTCCAAAAAGCTTGACATGATGTGAAACTCAAAATCTTTTACTACGTCAAATTTCTCAAAAACTAGTTACTGAGCAGAGAACGTTTTAATTCTGAGATGGCAAGTTGTCAAACTCAGTTCCTGAGATGTTCTTGAGATGATATCAGACATGCAAACACTATACTATATTGTGCCTGTTGTGAGAAAAATGAAAAATTCGAATGTTGGTTTTTTTCACCCTGTGTAAAGCAAGATCAAGCAGAATTATTCATTTTCCTTGTAAACACCACATGTATATCAGGTAGTATTCGGAAGTACCGTTCAATTTTAAATTTATTGAAAGAAGTGTATATTTTTTCGTCCATCAACCTGTAAAGTGAGCTCTCTCTTGTGTTTTATCAATAAATTGATGAGCGTATAAATAAATCCTCATAAAAGTTTTATCTGCAGGATTTGTGTCTGATTATGCTTTACTCACTCACAGACTGTGGATGGTTGGCAGGTGCTCTGATGTGGTTTGCTCCTTCTGTTCTATCAAACATCTGTCATCCTTATTTCTCCTCTTTCTTTTTTGTGTTTATTACTCTCTTGTAACTCCTCTGATCTTCCGCATTTCTTATTACTCATTGTGTTGCAAGTACCGTAGATCTAGTACCCCCCCCCAAAAAAAAAAAGACCACACACGCACTGTTGTCATTGACCAAGCTGCTGAAGTTGTAATCTGGTGATGTCATGAGCTCAAGTTCCTGATGAGATGTTTTCTGATGGGGAGTGGAATCTGCTAAGAAAAGACTCTTTACATAATTATTCCTCTCGTTAAGTCAAAGGCAAACTGGGTACAAACTACAAGAGGAATAATGTCACCCAAAAGTGTGAACGTTTTAACTTTTTATTGTGTTTCTTTAGATAATCAACAGAGTGAAAATACACAACAAAACAAGTACAAAAAACTTTTGACCCTTTCGATGCCAGTGGGTATACGTTCCCACTGTCAGCACTGATTTTCAACTGAGCTCGTTTCCCAGGACAGCAGTCTAATGTCTCAGTGTTAATGGACGCGTGGTCTAGATCTAGATTACTCATGACATATTTCTGACACCGGGTCTTCGATTGTCACTTTTCTCACTTTTTTTTATTCCCCATGTCCTCCCATCTTACTCATAATTTCCAATAACCTGCAAATCTAAGTCAAAAAGTGAATTATTTGACTTTTTAAAGTCATTTCAATGTTTACATTTTACAAGAGTACTTGCCGCCCACAAGCTTAGATAGATCTGTGTTTATTGATCACACGCAAGCCTAAGAGTAAAGTAATACTAGCAAATTTGGTACCGATACGCGCATCTTTTATTTCAGAATACGAATCTACGCAGCCCTTGTCGCTAAAACTCAGTACAGAAGAATTAGAGCCAGGTTATTAGTGTGACATACATGTAACATCATATAGGCAACCAGGAGCGGCCAATTTTGCCTACATTCGTAACATACATGGTACGGCACAGCGTTCAAAATTACGCATTTTATTTTCATAACGTACCAGGTATGTCATAATGCAACGAAGAGGTTAAAGAGTTTCCTTTTCCAGTTTTGGTACCATTTACTCTCTCTCTCTCTCTCTCTCTCTCTCTCTCTCTCTCTCTCTCGCTCTCTCTCGCTCTCTCTCTCTCTCTTCACCATCTCACATTCTCTCTCATTCTATCCTCCAGCTACGCTGCCAAGAGCGAAATGCTCATAGCTAATGGGATTTGAAAACAACAATCCTCCAGCTATCCCCCCTGCTCTCCCACCCTTCCCCTTTTCCTCAACCATATTTCAACTCTCTTGACTCTTCTTCATCATACCAGCACCAGCAAACCCATAACAAAGCAAACAGATGCAAGCTCTGTCTTTTGGCTGTTAGGAAAGTCAAAAAGATGTTTTGTTTTTATTTTGTCAAAATATAAGCTATTAAATCTAGTAAATATTTGAATTCCATACAAAAGTATAACTTGCTTCATGAAGAATCAAGGATGTTCTTTTCACATTCAGGAGTCACTAAATGCCTAAATAGATAAAACAAAACATTCTGTCGTCCACCTTTTCCAGCTGGTACTAGGCAAAAGCTTCCATAATGATAAGGCCTTCAAAAACTGCATCCTTCAGTGTTTTATACTTTTATTAAATTGTCAGTAAATAACTTACCTACGGCTACATCAATATCTATTTTCTTGCTTTAAAGTTTTTGAACTTTGATACCTCTACCTATCTTTTTCAAGTGAAAGGTAACAAAGGCACTTGTCAAGTAGCTGAAAGGAAAAGATTCTTTAAAATATAAATTTTGCCTGATAAGCATCATATGTGGCGCTGCTAAAAAAATCTTCTGTTGCTGCTGGCAAATGGAGAGCCTGTCATGTTGCTCCTGCCCCCCAAGGGTCGTCCTGGCAGCGCGTCTCGGCCCACGAGAGGGGAGAACGGGTCTACGTTGGGCCCTGAAGGAATGCCTGGCCCTCGCTGACCGTGGGCGAGCCGACCCATAGGGTGGTGAATTCCTGGATAAGAAAGGGCAAGCGGTAAGATAATATGATCTGAAGAACATTATTGAAGATTATTATTTAAACACAAGTTAACCATAACATGCTACAATTTTGTCCTGGGACAGACTTGTTTCTCCTAAATGCTGTAATAATCATAATAATGACTGAAGTCAGACTTGAATCGTCAGCATGCTGCTATTGTACAGCTAGAGTCAGACCTGTATTGCCAACCTGATATAATGGGTAACGGTATGTCAGACTCAGTGAGGCCAAAATTAAACTGACTCTCAAAAGCATTTCAAGTCATGAAATGTAAACATACAGCAATCAAACTTGCAACTTATAAAATAAACATCGGTTAGGCTAAAGACTAAAGATCAGAAAAAACATGAAATAAGGAAGTTTTTTTATATTTACTGAAAACTATCATAAATGAATCAGGCCACTATTGTTGCCCTTTGACTATAATGTGTCGTATGAAAAACCAGATAAATAAATTTACTTAGCATAGTAGCCTATATTAAATGGGAACCATTCTACATATATTTTGCCTACTGGGAACATTTACTGCTTTCCTTTTCCAAAGAAATCAGTCTTTTAGATATCTAAAAAACCACAAAATGCGATATGAGTAAATTTAGAAGATAGATTTTTTTTAAAATCAAAATCATTTTTAACACTTCTAGACTTGGCCACATCTAACACTTTGAATAAGCTAGTTCAGTAATATTAATATATTTGCTAGTCTTCAACGTGGGTTTACACAAAGTGTAAAATATATAGATTATACTTATGTGTGAGCATCTGTGCCTGCACAATTAGAGAACCAATACACTATAACAACAAAGTAGCAAGTGGTGCATTCATTCCTTATCACCATGTCTGAAAATTTCAGTGAAATGAAAATGCGAATCGTAACAAAGCCAACACTCTAACACTTAATTATTATTGGCAAATCATAAATTGAGAGTGGGCAGGTGGTTGCAGGGTGCCACTGACAGGCCCTCATTGTTTCCTTTCTCTCTCTTGTTTCTGTCCACCTGTCTTACTTTTTCCCAATACTTAATGATCAATATCGTATCCACATGCTTCTCTTTACTCTAGTCAGACTACAGTCAAACCTGCTCTGACTGCCACTTGTCCAAGTCATTCAACTGTACAAATGACCACGTTCACTTCCCCCCTTTCATTTTTTAAAAATTCATAATGACACAGTACAAGGCAACTACTTTTCTCCTCGACAACGAGTGGCCTTATTGGACAATTTTGACGGCATTCATAAATTGAGACATTCATAAGATGGCAAGTCATGTTGCCTCAATGCATCATGCATGTTATTTGGTATGAGTTTTACCGTGCTCACAACAGATTAAGGTCATATGTGTGCACGTGTGCATGTATAGAGAAGTACATACCAGACGCAAACTCGGGGTTCAGATCATAATCTCCACCTATCACATGAGGGAAGGGCGCCAAAGGAGCAAATGGCCTTGACCCAATCAGCCCTGTATGCGGCCACATGGGGTCAATAAGATGCTGGTGCCTGCGTATTTCCTCTTCTCTCCGCTTCCGAGTGATGAAGTTGTCTCTGTACAGCTGTGATGGGAACCAAAAGCAGATACAAAGAAATCAAGACCAACAAGTCTTATATATACACATATACACAGGCATATATATATATAATATATATATATATATATATATAAATATATATATATATATATATAAATATATATATATATATATATATATATATATATATATATATATATATATACAGTCACAGAGAGAGAGAGAAAGAAAGAGTCTATTGGAAGATAAGGATGAATGCTTCCAATCAATCATATCTTAGAACATCCTCATTGCTCGCTGTTGGAGCCGTTGTGCCGGTGAGCAGCCACAGCGGCTCCGGCAGATTACTTTACGACGACTTCGACATCAAATTACTTTTCAGCAATTGCCAAAAACAGGTCTCTACTACTAGGAGTTCCTCCATTGGATGAAGAATTATCAAACTAAGTTCACTTGTTTTGATTCAATGACCAATTTAGTGATGTATATGTCACTTTTAAATTTTGTACCAAAAGAGCGCCTCAGCACAGTGGGTTTACCCCCCTTAGAGATAATGAGTTAATATTTTTTCTTCAAAGCAGCCTTTAGGATACTTTCTGATAAACAACATATGTGAAATACACAATTACTTGCACCCACCAAAATAAGTCCACTAAACGGTAGATTTAGATATGTATTCTACTCATGTCGTTCTAAATAAAACAAAAGACATGATGTAGACATACCAAGACCAAAAGAAACAGTAAATCAAACACACAGCTGACATGAAACATGCTTCTCCATTGTTAAGCTAAATCTTAAAAGAAATTAGAAATTCAAAGCATCAGTCTAACATCACTTTGTCCTTTGAATAAAAAAAAATAAGTGTATAAGAATCTGGGTCAAATCAATTTTCCAGACTTTTTAATCTACATGGCAGTATACATCTTTCTATCTTAGTTTTTGTAGCAGGATGTCTATATTCAATGAATAACACAAACATTATAAAGATTGGATATTTGAATATATTAGAAGTTACACTCACTTCTAAAAGCTAATTTGTTCCAGTTTACAACAACAACAAAAGACAATTTTGTTAGAGCTAGTCATTACGTTTTCAATTCAAACAACAGCACTCACCTGAAACCAGTCCTGACTAAGTGAACTGTTTGTCGGTTCTGAAAGACAGACATTACAGGATAATATTGTTAACATTATTACGCCATTGTTATAGTTATACATCCAGATATTGTCATCAGTAACCATAAGGACTTTCATACATCAGCACACTAAAGCACTTTTTTTTAAAATCTAGTAACAAGAGAATGATGAAGAAGAAAACTAAGAACACAGGATATTTCACAGTGAGTTCTATAAAAGTCAACCGAAGTGCAAACATTAAGACATACTAGAATTGACTATTGAAAGAAACAAAAGGACAGGCGGGACCTTTAATCCAATTTTTCCCTATGCATTTGATGATGACTGTTATCTCTATACAAAGGAGCTATTCTAATCAGTAAATGTGTGAGTGTAACGCTCCTGTCAACAGGCAGAGGTATAACTTGAAGGGTTTAGAGACAAAAGGTTCATCTCTAGTATTTGAACTTCTTTTTACCCTTAAGACCAACAGCAGAATCTTTAATCTTATCTGAATTAAAATATTTGGTCACAAAACGTTCTGCATCCAATAATTTTGTACTACTTTGACTCAGTATTTTTCTTCAACAGCCTATATATCATGAACCAAACAATCAATTTTTTCAAAATTTTTTCCTGTAAGGAAATAACGCATTTTATCCTAAAGCCTTTCAAACTTGCCCTTTTTACCTCCAAAGTGCATGAGGTGAAGACGCCTCCAGATGATTTTGTCTTTGTACACAGTACACAGCTCATGGCATGTCTGACCCAAACGGCACAAGCTGCGAGCATCTAGACAGGACAACACACGCAACTGGGGAGGGAAAGGTGGAAGGCCTAGCCAACAAAGGCACTGACTCGAACATGTAGTCTATGTTATCTGTGGCGCTATAATACTTTGCATGAATCTTACAAGTTGCATAGCTTTTACAGATAATATATGCACATATGTCATTGGGAACAGGCGATAGAGGAAGACCATGCATCAAAAATATTTCCCTATAATAATTAACAAATGCAAATATCTGCGTTTGCAAAATATGAGATTTGTAGCTAGATTAATCTGAAAGTTTGAAAAGCTGTTCATGTCTTATACTTTTACGGCTTAAACCAAACAAAACTTGAAAGGAAAAGAAAACTAACCTGAACTTCCCACGGTAAAGCAAGCAATCCTTGCCTCTCCCTGTAGCCTGCAGCTGAAAACAGTCAAAAAGTTATGCAAGTTTTATTTAAAATAAAAGCATGCTACAGGTGGGTCAAAACCTCCTATGCCTATAAAAGAAGTATTCATTCAGCTTTTTCAAGAAACTGTAGGAGAATAGTTAGAGAACACCTGCTCACAAATAATGCCCCACAATATGGAATGATGACAAAATGTACACTGGGTTTCGACACAAGCGAGACATATTAAACCAAACTAAAGAAACAGGGCTCTCCTCCTCTGCAATCAGAAATAATGCAATAGTATAGTTTATTGAGAGATGTTGTGTTCCTGTGTCATGATACTGCACAGGTGACCTCTAGATTAATTCATATATATGCACTGTGCCTGCTGTCACTCCCAGATTTCACTATGAGATTGTAAGAGGCCTATATGCAGTATTTTTCTGCTGTTCTTTTCTATCAATCCTCAATATATCAAATCTGAACCCATGTCCTCGACTTTCAAGATGACACATTCATATAATTTTGCTCTTAGACTCACTGAGAAAACACTCAACAATACAACAACAAAAGAAAACCTGCAACATTAGCCACAAAATGTTTTTTGATCAAAGGAAAAGGGGAGACTTCCGTTCAGCTCTTGATCTATAGAAATAAGAACAATATCTATTACTCCTAAATTTGTTTTTTAGCCCCAACTCGTGATAAGCTGAAGAGCAACTTTGTTTCACTGCACAGACCAAACCAATGAGGAATGTCATTTAAACACAGACATTTTCTCCATGTAAGCTGAACAACACTCAGGAGCTGGTTCGTGCAAATACCAGAGGGTTTTTTTTTTTCCCCCAAATAAAATAAAAAATTAACAAAAATAGAGGAACAAAAAAATTACCTGTAACCACTTCATTAGTCAGAGGAAGACAGATTTTGTCTTTGATGACCAGGGAAAGTTTGTCAAGGGCTCTGAACACTGTTGGCACATCTACAAGGAAACATCAATGACAATAACAGTGGTGAGTGAACTTGCAAACTGGGGCTTATTAAGTGCATATTATATGTTCTCGGGATTAACTACAATTTGGTATGGAAATTGCTGCTCTTGCTCTCTAGTATCTGGTACAGAACAGACACGGGTGATGACGTCTTTCCCTTCTATGGTAATTTTGATCCTCCTCATAAGTGTTACAGTACCCTGACTATTTCCAGTTGCAAGAGAATTTTTAACTTTTCAATAATTATTCTTCACCTTCCTCAACATCTTTTTCCACCATTCTTTCCAGTTGTGGCCAGATATTCAGGACCCTTGCCACAAGAACTGTCAAAAAATACATTGGTCTCTTTTTTATTGCTATTACTTAGGTATCATCATTACAGATAACCTTCCACATGTACAGCCTCATTTGTTTTCTTTTTCTTCTATGAAACTCAGAATCACATAAGCCACATTCGCACATATTTCAATTTACTGTCTCTTTTGTAATTGTCCAGCTTTCTCAGCCAAATAAAAGTATGACTGTAAAGCTGGTCAGCAACTGCATGTGCAAGATAATTATTCTGTAACATAGTAAATCACTCACCACTGCTAAGGCCCCGCACAAAATGAGACGACGTGAGGTGAAAAGTTTCTGTGTTGAAGCCTGACTCGGTCTGAGCCACACCTGCAGTGAACAAAACGACATTTGTGTCCATTGACTTGACTGATTCAGCCTGTAGATAATTTTGACTCCCGACATGAATTATTTGTTACCACTTCGTGACTTCACAGGTGCTGTCACAAAAAGTTCATAAAGAAATATCTAAATTTGATCAAATCCTGTGTGGCACATAGAAATGTACAGAATAAAGAATACTAATAGTACTATTTAATGACACCAGAAAAAAGGGCTCTGCGTCAAAACACAGAAGACAGTCAGCCACTGTGAGTGACGCTGAAGGCTGAATCAGTTAAAACTTTTTTGTTTGACAAACTTACCACAAAGGTCTGAAAAGAAAAGAAAGTCTTAAGAATTTACAAAGTTAGGATGCGACAGACGGTGGAGTTAGGCGGACATTAATCTTAACCCTGAAAAAGACTATGAGACAATTTGGGGAGTTGAATCCCAGTTTCATAATATGGCATGCCATAGAAAAAATTATCAGTACAAAGATTTGTTGCTGTCGTTGCAAGATAAGATAATAACAGCCACATTTCGCCCTAATGCTTATATTAAGCATCTTCATACATCTCACTGCAAATAAAAAGTGTACGATAGAAAGTTGAAAATTCACCCCAGATCTATCCAAAGTTATTGACATCAATATTCAAAGACAAACTGCACATGCTGGACTCCCAATTTAAAGTTCTTCTGTGAAAAATTCAAGCACTCTGCTCTTGCACTAAAGAGAGCTGTGGACTTTCTTCCATACTTTTAAACCATGAAAATGTCAGTGAGCCATTTGTTTGAGACTGCTTTTACTCCTAAACTTTTCATGTTTCAAACAGGTCAAAGCTAAAATGTTTCAAAACTTAAATAAACCAAATCAACCAGAAAAAAAAAAGAAAAAAGATGAAAGTCTATGATAACAAAATGTGATAGAGAGTAATGTAAAAAAGATGGCAAAATTGAATTTATGCCTGAGAATTCTAAATTCCAAACTCACCAAATGCAGAAAGATAAGTGACAGCACAATGTTATATCACAGCATTTGAACACTGTAGTGAAATCATAGATTTACAGCATGGAAAGAAGGTTCTCAATTTAAATTAACATCCATCCTGCATGAAAAAATACCCATATATTGTTATTAAGCTCAAAAAACGTATCTACTCCTCACCATTTACAGCAATAGTAGAGCCGAGCGTGACTCCAGTGACTGAGCAGGGGGCGCTGACGTCAGTAGCCACTTGATAGGTGTACTCACATCTGTAGTAGCCCGGTCGCTTCCAGTTGTCTGGCATAGACCCCGTATTTACTGGACTCTGGTAACAGAAGGTCTCATTACAAACAACCTCCAAAAAGATTCTGCACAGCATGTAATTGCTAAAAATCAAACAAAATGTACATTCAAGTGTAAAAAAATTATGGGAGGAACAAAAAATTATGTGTATTTTTGTTGTTTTCTTTTTTCCAACTACCCAAGATAACTAGAAAAAAATGACAGGAACAAGAAAAAAGACATGACAAGAGCAAAATAATTGTTAATACAATAGTGTGGTCTTCAACTACCAATAACATCAAGCTAGAAACAATGAGAAATAATATAATCTTGGATAAACACAGGATGGAACTTTTACTGATCATGCATGTATAAAAAATAATAAGCATGCATTATTGAAAAGGCATAATAGTCCAGTCAGACTCATACTAATGGTACAATCATATGTGCTGACATTTCAATATTTACAGCTTTTCAGTCTGTCCAGAAAAAGCAAGAACTTCAGCTCAGGTAAATTTTTCATTTTTTAAAAGACAACTGTTTCGTCATTAAGTTTTATATGAAGTAAGTTCCAAAAAGGCGAAATATCCCAGAGATCTAGTATGAGGTGCAGAAGAGGAGGAGAAGGCGACAACAGCAGCAACAAAAAAAGAAGAAAAACCTCAGAGCTGCTTTGCTTGCAAACAAAACTTGATCATCATTTACAGTAGGTCTCCCAAAAAAGACTGTTACCTGCCGGCAAGTAAAGCCAGACTCGAGCATGAGGCAGTGCACAGCCACCCACAGGGCATCAGTGGACAAGGTGCAGCCTGCGGACTGGTACAGCTGACTGAGAGAGATCGGGACCTGTGAGCCCGTAGACTCACGCACAACCAGGGGCTCCTTCAGGTATCTAAAATGAAAAAAGGGCATATGTTGTGTTGTTTTGTTGGGGTTTTTTTTAGGCACATTGGCACACCAATAGCCTTTATTCAAGGGAAAGCAAGACAAGACAGGCAGAAACAAGAGAAGGAAAATGAAGAGGTGGGAGGTACCAGTAGCACCCTCCAGTTAGCTGCTTGTTTGGTTTTTTTTAACCTCAAGGAATAACTTGTACAAAAAAAAGAACAGTTCATTTTAAAGAGACAACACATGACATCCAACAGAATATCAAGCTGAGATGGTGACAAGTAGCAGACTTCAGGCTAGCATGCTGGAAAACAACTCAACAATAATCATAAAAGGCTGAGAGATAACATGTTCGCATTAAATGAGAGACATGTGAATCCACTTTGACTTCAATGTGAAACATCTTACATCAAAAAAAGACCAAGCAGTACCCTGTAAATTTGTACATTAAACCAAGGTACATATCTAGACTATGTGTGTCCATCTGTTGGAAGTGAAGCTTATCCCGGAGAATTTTAATTTCATTATGTACAAATTCCCATTTTCATGACTAGAATTCAGTGTTTTCAAAGTGATTTAAATCAAAATCAGAAAAATAGACAGTGTATGATAGCACTAAGCTCACGAAAATCCTATTCTGTTTCATTTCAACAAAGCCCAACTTTGCATTCTACTGCAAAACTAAACTATTCTCTCTGGCAAAACATTATTCATCCGCAAGAAAACCTTTCTTTTTTTTACCTGTTGATTTCTGCCTGGCCTATTTTTGCTTGAAGTAACTCTTTCTCGACATCATCTGCTTCACTGAAGTCCTGAAAACAATAACTGAAAGATAAATTTTGTTTATACCTAAAAAATATATAATCCAAAGAGTAGAAAATTCCACAAAAGACAAAAAGTTTATATTTATTAACCTTTTTAACATATTTAATGCCCTAAACAGAGCGTCAAAACAAAAATAATTCAACTGATAATGGATGTCAAAAACATATCCAACACACAACTGTGAAGACTGAGATAATCAAAGAGACAGAGATAGAAGAGGTAAAATTGCCACCAAATTCAAAATGTGAGCTGATGAAAAAAACAGTTCTCTTTCTCGTCATTTGACAAGATACTTATTACTCCAGCAAGGAACTTTCATACCAAAAAGCACAAAATTTTGTCATTTGAGGGAAATTTTAGAACCCCATTTCATCCACTTAAGGCACTTTTTTTCTGACTGCTCAACAATTAAATAATCATTTAAGAGGATAGAAAAGCTAAAATCTACCATCATATTACCATTTCGCTCTCTCGGTGTGACAAGTCTGATGATCCACCCTCTACTTCCAGCGACTGTGATGCGGCTGACGGCGAAGCACTTGAAGCTGCACTACCCTCGGTAGAAGCAGAGAAAAATGCTTGGCTGGAACTGCTGGATGTGCGAGAATCGACGGGCTGTTGTCTGGTGATCGCGGCGGCTTCGATGGCTGCTTCTGGTACACTGGCACCAATGACATGGACCAAATCACCTGACACCATGCCGAATTCCAACAAGACCTGATCCTCTCCTTGAAGAGCATCACGCTTGTTCAAACTCAGCTGGAAGTCTCTGAGGAGAGGAATCCATCCAGTTGTCATTGAGTAGCAGTTTATATAAAGTTATAAGGACAACAATAGGCACATTACAACAAGAAAAGATTACAGTAGTTGAAGCTATGAAGACAGAAAAGGCTGTTCTAGGCAACCCAGTATCCACCCGCAATGCTTGTGATACAACCACTTCTATAGCTTTGCTTTTTGTCTGGCTGCCAAAGAATGTCACAAAAGTATATTACACCTCGAATAAAAGTCAGAAAACCAAGTCTCAGAGATAACATGTAGTTCCACTAATAGACCAAAAGACTCAAGAACCACCATCAAAATATACATATATATATATATATATATATATATATATATATATATATATATATATATATATATATATATATATATATATCCATATATACATGAATGAAGAAAGGTTTCTATGACTGTATATTTATTATCAGAGCCTGATATGACTACTAGTTCAACATTCTTATAATACTAAGAAAAAAACACTAGATATGATATTTTCAGAATACTAAAGCCAGTAAACAAAAATAAGACTATTACAATAAGACTGTAATGTTCTGTGATTTGCTAAATCATTTTCTTTCTATTGCTGTAATGTTGAAAAGAAGTTTTTCTCAACATTCACAACGCTAACTGAAAAGGAATTTTTTTTTAAACAAAGAACAACATGGGTGAAAAAATTATGTTCAGAAAATTACATTACTGACCCTGAACTACCAATAAACAACATATGAAACATGAGCATAAAATTCAGTTTAGAAATTAGCTTACTGATCTTCAGCTTGAAACTCGGAAGCCACAATTTGTTTCAATTCGCCAAGGGTGACAACTGCCACTCCTCTGTCCCCAAGGTCTACAACTCGACTTTGATGATCCCATTTGACTTTGAGCTTCATATCTCAAAACCTGAAAATATGATAAAATGGAAAAGAGAAAATTCCATAATTTTTTCTTGTGGACATCATATAAAATTCATCCGAAAAAAGTTCAGATTTAGACTCACACCTGCATGCTATACCCTCCTCCTTTTCCTGCCAGTGTCTTGGCCATAAACTAATAGAAATGCTTTCACAAATATATAAGAAAATTAGACAAAATTTGTCTTAATCAAGCTGTCATGTCAGCTGCTTTCTCTGAGTGCCATGTCTATAGCCTCTTTTTTCCAGCGGAAAAAAATCCAGTAGAGTGAAACGTTCACTTCCTTATCTGCAACTGTAATCCCAAAACTAAAGGCTGTGAGACAATCGACCAAATAAAACATGAACTCTTAAAAAGTTTTAAATAGTCATTACAAATTTTCCATTAACTCACTGAAGTAGTCTGAATACACATCCTACAAAAGCCCGAAGCAATACATTTAAAATATATACGTTCCAATTATTTAAAGCGAAGTGGCTATTCGGACTCGAATCTTAATACCCTCCTGTGGCTATTTGGACTCAAACTCCAATGCCCGTTACTTTCATTGACTGACTTTTGTTACCTTTGGAAAGGTTTTAACTTCCTCTTCTTAGTTTCTAACTGGACTTCCAATTGATAAATGATTAAATTTTGTCTTTCTCGTCAAATAAAGCAGGTTTAGACTACCTATGGATAGTTATTTATAATCATTCTGAAACTTTTATTTTTAATATTTTCACTGCTTTTTAAAGCTCAAATTGCCATTTCCCTCTTTGCCTTTGTCGTGTAGTATTTAAGATTTTGCAAATGTTGTCCACTTTTGACGTCAATAATATTTTTCTTAAAACTGAGGAAGGCCAAGGTAGAATTGCCGGCCCGCTTCACATCCGGTACACGCATTGGAGTTTGAGTTCGAATAGCCACGTTGCTGACTTTGTACAAGGGTAAAATAAACTAAATATAATGTAAGTCAGACGATGAGGATCAAGTGCCATGGTAAAACAATCACACGGGTCGCCACCACTCAGAGAACAAGGGATGCTTCTGATGCAAGTTCACGTCAACGTCCATTGTTACTTTGTCACAGATTAGGTTAAACAAAACAGTGACCAGTCACCTCACACACGATTTGTGCATGGTCGTTCCATAATTTTAGCCTGTACAGTACCATTCTGTACTGCTCTTTTCCTCCCGAAACAAAGTGAAAGTTGTACACACACACACACACACACACAAACAAACACACCCACACCCCAAGCAGTTGACGATTAAACCAACCTCGCATCCCCTAGTGTCATAACCCATCATACGCTAAGCGGCAAAGCGGGCCCGCCACGGCGTGGACAAACGCCCAAAGAACAAGTGCAATATCTTGGTAGTAGAGAATCTTGGTATTCTTTTACTTTCCCTCCAATCTCACACTTTGCTACCAGTTGTCCATTTTCTACTAAATATTAATGTGCTGGACACGAACCAACTTCATTTCCATACCAAATCAACAGTTTTTGAAATGTTTGATTTCTTTTAAAATCGAGCTAGATTCTATCACACTACAAGATCTCTATGCCTCGCGTAAATTGCGGTTGTGCCCTTTGGACCAATCGGGGGTTTTCAGGGGGAAGGGGTAAAAAAATCTGGGGGTTATATACATGCCCCCCTGTTTTACAATTACGTTTGAAAATTTCCTGAAAGTCGACAGTTTTAGTGGCTTAAGTGCAATCTGCAGCAAACAATACTGCAGTTTGACCCCCGAAGCACGCATCTGTGTGCGGGAAAGTAAAAATTCACCAGAATCTTTTGCATTACAGCACGGAATTGCATGCACAGCAAAGTTGGTTTTTTTAATTATTTAAAGCAGAGGGTTTTACTGTGCTCGCAACTGTAAATAAGGTCATATATAATATATATATGAGCGCCAAGGGGTGTGTGTCAACAGAGAAGTCTTTTTATAGGGAATCAGACTTAGACTGCTCACCTCTCTGGCTTCAAAAGCACAAGGTTTGCTTCGACTATCAGGCAACCCCGAAATAGCAGGTCACAAGAGAGTGACAAACATACAAAAGAAGTAGAGGAAAAATGACAATAGTAAGGATCAGATAAGAAAAAGCAGCAGTTCCCTGTTGTAGATCAGGCACAGTTATGAGCGTGACATGAGTCAGCCCATTTACAATTCTTCTATGCTTGAACCAGAAATGTTCCCCCTTTGGGAATGGCCTAAAGACACTACAGTCAGTGGCACTGCCCCGGGGGGGGGGGGGGGGGAGAGATAGCAAAAAGTATGATACCTTGCACGCATTGTAAGCGTAAGTATAGCATAGCAAAAAATGTATCGGTGCACGAAATTGCGAGCGTATAACTTCTAGATCTAGATCTAGATTTAGATCTAGTAGGCCCTCTGCTCTATAGTTTAGTCAAAAGACTTGTCCAGACGGCCGAGATGCCCAGACATTACTGTTGTAGTAACTCCCGACTCAGTGACAGTGACTAGTGACGACAGTGACACTAACACTGCCGTTCATGAATTTAACTTGATATTATCATTTGATAATGATATGGATGATCAATAACAAGTGGAGAACTTGATTTACTCTTTTTCAAAATAATGATCATGCAAAGATGATGAAGAGAAACGTACGTTGTCCAAATGCGGCAAATGATCACGACGCAGTTCACGCAGATCGTTTTCGGCTGTTTTCAAGTTTTGTTGACGTTCAACAAAATTTGATTGGTGAAGTTTAGTCTAGTCGTACCAGTATCCGAATCCGATCAAGGGAAGGAATTCCTGTTGTAGGTTGGTTTAAGCACAAAAGTATTGCGGTCCATCAAGTCACTGCAAGAAGATTGAGTCGGCAGTCCTCTCTCTCTCTCTCTCTCTCTCTCTCTCTCTCTCTCTCTCTCTCTCTCATTTGAGATTTTTAAAAATGATTGTTTCATATAAAAGAACCAACGCATGATGGAAGTAAGACAATTTATTCTTATTTGTTTTGCAAACGTATCATTTTAATATGCACAAACATTTCATTTGAAATACAATTTTGACATTGTTTATTAATTTTTAAAAACGGTTGAATGATTCCATTTAACGTTATTTTTGTGAGTTTTGGTGTGTTGTGGCGAGTTTTAGTGAGTTTCGGTAAATATACCGCCCCCTTCCCAAGGAGGTTATACACAAGGAGCTTTACTTTTAAGTTTTAATCTCCGCTGGTTATACAGTAAAGGTCCTTGCCCCTTCCCAATATATTAATTTTCTCCTCCTGGTTACCGATACTGAGCGAGAGTGTAAGAATAGAGTAGGCTATAACTTGAATCTCTTGAATTCCGAGCAGTTAAATGAACTTGTGGCATCTTAATGATGCTGGTGTTTATGTATGCCTGTCCTCAGAGAAATTCGCGCGCGCAATCCGCAAGTTGCGCACGCAACTTTTGGCCTCAGCGCAACTTTTGCGCAACTTTTGCCATTTTCGTGAATTCTCGAATTTTAGGCAATTTTCGACAAAAGTTGGACAAAAAATAATTCAATTTCGGTAAAAAAATAACCGAAATTTTGTTCCACAACTAAAAATAACGACGCGAAGGCGACAATTCGTACCTGAAATTAGATCTACCACTTCCTTTTCCTTTTCCTTTTGCACTACATGGATGAAAACGGGTCGGGACACAGTCGCCCGACTCGTTGCCTGAAAACAACGCGTTTGTTTTTGAGGCAACGAGTCGGGCGCGATCGATTTGTGCCACGATAGCCACTTTGCGCCGTCAGTCTGTCGAGCAAACCGACCCGTCCCGACCTGACCTCCCCAATAGTCCTGTTTGGACTGAATCATCTTCTACTTCCTCTAGATCTAGCTAAATCTAGACTCTAGATCTAGATATCTATAGAGTGAACTCAATCGTAAACACGATCATCTGATTACTTAGCTTGCTTGATTCCGTAGCACCAGGTAGATAGATAGATCTGGTACATTGTATAAACATTTGTGAAAGACTTTAAATTTTAGGCTAGGAGGGTAGATCTAGACATGGATCGATTCATCCAGAAAACCCCTAAAGGGGTCGTTCAAATAATTATAATCTTACGCCTGGAAAAGGCCTAATCACTAAAGAAAAATGTAAGAAAGGGGGGGGGGGGATCCAGAATCAAAGTAATATTACACTTTTGTAAGATGAAAGAATAACATGGAAAATAATGTATGACAACCTAACTAATTTTTAAAAACAAAACATGACATAAAAAGAGTAAACTCTGCTATTCACTTAGAAGTTTTTTCCGGAAAAGTTCCGCTTATACCACATTTAATTATTATGTCACATGTGTGTGTATGCATGTTTTTCATGAGTACTATTATGTAAAAGTAAAGCGCATAGACTACCAATGATTGTAACACAGATATGCACAATATAAAATGTCATATTATTTATAAAGTAAGCGAATAAATATTAGTATTTCAGGATTTTTTTATTTTTTTATTTTTT